GCTGGGCCCATATCCAAGAGGTCGTGGGTTCGATCCTCGCCGGCCGAAGACTCCCCGTGTAGTAAATGGTGACTGATGCACGTTAAATCTGTCGAGTCGCAAAGTCCTCCATGTTCCCATAACAAATCAATACCTCTGGGGGTACTTATCCAGGAGTTTCCTTGCCTTCTGGATTGGTTCAAAATTACAAGGCTACGGAGTTGAACATTAGTAGTCGTAAACCCGAAAATTGGGGCGGTTGTTCAACGACGGATAAAATAAAATAAAATAGCAAGATATACAAATTTTTATATAATTTTATGGAAGGTAATTTTAAATCGTGAAATACAAAATTTGAATGAAATTGGTTAAATAATTCAAGATAAATAAAATTTTAAGCAAACTGACTTTTTTAAAATTTGATAACTCAGAAACTAATTGATCGATTGCTCTGAAAGTCTGTATTTGGAAATTAAAAGGATGTAAAAATATGTAGAACATACAATTCAATATATTTTACTATTATTTAATAAACTAATAAAAAATAACAAATAATTATTTAAAATTATTTTTGCTTAAAAATTTGAGTATAAAATGTTTTTTGTAATTTTATGCAAAAATTTTTCAATACACTCAAAAAGTTCTTGAGATAATGGGCTATAATTGAAGAGTAAAGCTAAAATTAAAGGACCAAAACTTTCCAACTCCCTCTTGCCATAACTTCCGACCATATCTTCCAGATTGCGGCTGTTTCCGCATTTTGAAAATTAAAAATCTAAAACTCTAGACAAACTTGTATGTTTATCCAGAACAGAATGAGCTTTTCTGTTCATTTTCGTAACTTAAAATATAGTATTGACTCTTTGTGCGTGAAAATATGATTAAATCAAAAGTAATCAAGGTGTTCCCTTTTTCCATTTCATGCACTGTACATAAATGTCCGTTTCATGCACTGTACATAAAGTCAATGAGAATCTGTTATGTTGATTAATATATATTTTAAGATATTGAATGCGAACAGTTTAATTGTTTTTCTGAATCAATCAACAATCTTTTTACAACTAAGAAAATGATAAAAAAATAATAAATTTAAAATATTTTGTTGCTGACCATGCCCGACAGGGGTGCAATTGCCCCCCCCCTTGACCCTCTACTAGCGCTTGGGCGGAGGTTTTTCTCCATCAGTAGCCACCAATATTCGTATAGTGGAAAATAACTTCATGATTGTTCATTTTTGGCCATTAATGAATGGATTAAACAATCTCCAGGAAAGAATATACAAATTTTTTAGTGAAATTTAGATTTTATTAAGCATAATTAGTGATATAGAATGTACACTCTAACATCATCCCAAAAAAGAGGAAATCTCCTAAAGGGATCAAATCCAATATTCTCATACGGAGAGATTACAAGCAAGAATCTCATTTCTGACGGTTGGAAATTGAGACTGGGGAGGCGAAAATTGGGACTTGGGAACAACTTTGTCTTCCAGCAAGACAACGACCCAAAACATACAGCTAAGATTGTTAAGGAATGGCTACTCTATAAAACGCCTAAGCAGCTCCATTCGCCGCCACAGTCCCAAGACCTTAATCCCATCGAGCACCTCTGGGAGGAAGTTGATAGGAGAGTTCGGGAGCAATCGGTAACAAGCAAGGAAACCCTAAAGAAGGCAATAGAGCTTGCCTGGTCTCAAATTACACCTGAGACGACAAAAAATCTGGTTATGTCGATGCCAAACCGAATTCAGGCAGTTGTTACTTCTAAGGGAGGTCCTACAAAGTATAAATGTTACATTTTTTGGCATTTAATTCTGAAAGTTTGTATTGTTCTGTCTCTGTATGTAGACTTTTGGGACTATATAATTTAATATGTTGTTAATTTTTGTCATATTTTAACGAATTTGTTCATAATTTTTTTTGTTAGATACGAGTTATTATCCAAGATGTTAACGAAAATAAAGTTGTATATTCAAAAATATGAGTAAAGTGCTAGATCTGCGAATATTAGCGGGTGTATGTAGACTTTGGTGACTGACTGTAAATTGCATTGGATTGCAGCAAAAACAAATCTGTAGGTCCAGCACCACAAAACTTGTGCACACCAGCTGCTAAAGCGACTGGTCAGTGCCGGCTCTAAGTCACTTACAACTGTACTAAAGTGAATAGCTGCCCTCCTGTCGACCCAACAATACTGGCCAGCAGTCTAGCATTCGTAGTCTAAAAAGCGCAGGGTGAGTGATTGCCCGACATTTTCCAGTAGAGGGTAATCAATGAATCAACAATTGAGGGCAGCAATTGATATGCATCCAGCAACAAATAAATTGCTGCCTTCCCTTCAGTCTATTGAGGTTTACCAGAGGTCATTGATCTAGTTACAGGGGTAAACAAAATCCCCAAATCTAATTATTTTTTATTTAATTCAATTAATTAACAATTAGCTAAATTATTATTTAGGCATCTAATACATATGTTTTATATGATATTATTTAGGCATCTAATACATATACAATAGAAATGAAAAGTTTACATAGATATTAATAACACTGCTTACATCTCTGAAAAAATTTTTTCTTCAATTTTTTTTATTTAGTTTCTTTTTAACTAAAAATTTTTATTAAATACTCCATTACTAGGCCTACTACAAAGTTCTCCCTTGGAATAAAAAAGAGCAAGATGCTTCCTCACACAAAAGGGTACATAGAGTTTTGAAAGGGCTCTTACTTAACAACGTAAATATTTAACAAAATGCGTACTGTTATGTAATAGTTGAATTTAACTGTTAAACTGTTGACAACGACTGTTAAATCACCATCTTATGCAATTTTACATGTGCATTTCAAAAAATAGTTCTCACCCATTATCAAAATTAGAGAAAAATTTATAATTTATGGGGAAAAAAAATAAACATGCTCAAAGAAAATCATTGTGCACAAAATTTTTTTTTCAAAAAAAAAAAAAAAAAAAAAAAAAAAAAAAAAAANAATTAAAAAAAAAAAAAAAAAAAAAACAATTGTTAAACGTTCAAGCTTTTTCGATAATTCAAACAAAAAATTATGAGAAAAATAAATATTTAAAGATGCATTTATTTTTAAAAAAAGAAATATTTATTTCAATTTTTTTTTTAAATCCCTTAATAAATCTATTGATACACTCCCTACCAAAGAGAGAAACTATTAAAAATGTAATCAGTTGAGAAAAATCCTAACAAAGTAAATATTTGTAATGGTATCAGAATCAAACCTGTTAACACGAATAATTTTAAAAGTGTGTAATTATTTTCACATTTAATTTTTTTAATGGAATATTAACACAAAGACAATGATAATACCCAAAAAACTTAATTAAATCTTGTAATAAACTATTATAATTAAAAGTGTTAAATTATTCCACTTATTCTATTTACATTTTTCTTATTATTTCATTATTGTAAGCACTGTATTTCTCATGCACACATTCCATATCGAAAGGATTGATACATATAGTGGATCGAAAATCAATATTTTGCTAAGACAGCAACAAAACCGTTATATATAAACTTGTCAACGAATTAGTGAACAGGAAAGCAAAATTTAAGAAATCAAAACCTGTTCGATTATCGGAAGAATATGCACTTAGGTTAGTATTTTGTTTATACTCCAGATTTAAGTTTTGTAACTAGTTTCAAAATTTCCTCTATGTATGAAAACTTGCATCGAAATCACCAGTGTGCTTGAAAACAAGTATTAAAATTACCAGTCCGATTTCATACTGGTTTCCAGCAAGCTTGAAAGCTTAAAGCAAATTTTCAGTATGGAGCCATCAGGTTTTAGAATTTCCGGTATGGTTTTATACGGAGTTTTTAATTTCTGGTACGGTTATTCTGGTTCTGGT